GCTTGGTCAATAGGCCCACAAATGAAACTGCTATGACTAGTGCTCTTCAACTAGGTGATTTGGCCAGACATACTCCATTAGATTACGATGTAGCTTGAATATTCCCGAATGACTTTTTGGTCCTTTGAATTATGAATCATAAAGTATGCTTCATAGAATACAGAATGCTCTATAAGCAAAGTTGACTTGAATTTGTCTCAGTAGATAAACATCCATATCAGGTCTATAAAATTTTTCTTAGATAAAATAACACCCATAACTGCTGGCAATGATCTTTCAGTAAAGTAAAGTCGACTATTTCCTTTGAATGCATAAATAAAAAACCATGATAGTCTAGGAAGATGGAATCATGAGATCTTAATCAGGTTCATGATCATTTCACCCACCACCCACTCTAATCTTATGGTGATAAATTCTTTACTCAAAACTTATTTATTGCTACTATTGGAAACCTCAAATCCCAGATCTAAAATCATCACAAAATAATGGTGAAATCTTTAAAATGTCTTATCTACAATTTCATCTGTCTTCAAAAAATTTGACCCAAGAGAAGTGTAAAACTCTTTTCATCATTCAGGCCCATTGCCATCAATAGTCGGCTGAAGAATGGTCAAAAAAAAAATTAAAAGAGTTGTTGGTGTGGTACAAAAGGACACAACTAGGCCACTTGTAACACAAAATACTTACCACCAACTTGCAAGATATAACAACCACTTTCTAATTACTGGTTGCAAAACTTTCATGAATTAAGTTATATGAAGTTTGTCTCCAAACATACATAATACTTGCACTTGTTTTAATGATTGGTTATAAAATTGTTATTATTATATTTATTTCATTGTCAACCAACATGGCTAGGTAGAGTTCTCTTGAGTTGTGATGAAATTTGCTTAATAAAAATTCAAACATGGGTTTCGGTTCAGCTGAATATGGCTTCAATTTCCCACTGATGGTTCTTTCACATGTTTTTTTATCAAGTGGAAATAAAGTATTACTTGTTTGCCAATCTCCTCTGTTTTGAAGTAAATATGGGAATGCCAAATAGAAAATACAACCTCAATGTAATGCTAATGCACATTTAGATATAGTTTCAGGCTTAAGTTTGGGCACCAAGAATTCTGGCCGCTCCCCGAACTCTCTGCTATTTAGTTTGTGTTGTGTTTTTGTTGACAGAATTTTGAGGGTCAAATTTTTAGACGGCATATGGGATAGTAAATAAGACATTACCCAAAAATTTCGCTTTCATTTTATGAGAGCTTTTTTAACCGAAGTTTGAGATTTCCCATAGACGCAAGCCCCTATGATTAATTATCTCCACCGATAATAGAAGAGCACTTTCGATTAAGGCTACTCATTTAACACTGAATAAACATTAAATTATAAAATCTATCACTTGAAGCCTAAAGTGAATGGTAGGGGAAAAGATGATGAATCCGATCAAGATCTCATCATTATGTCATCGTGGACACTGATCTACTTAGATGAGGTAGTCAACCCAATTGACTAAAAGAACCTTGTCCACAACCATGGATTGTGTCATCCAAGGTACCCTTGTTGATTTGAGGTGGATATTTATTTAAGGGAACAAATTCAAGTCGACCTTAGCTAACGAAAGATTTTATGTCAATCAATTGTATCTTTATGATTCACAACTCAAATAATAAAAAATTTTTTGAGAACATACAGCTGCGACCATGACCGTAATATACTTGTGTCATTCGGTGGCAACCACTTAGTTAGAAGGTTATGGTCGTAATCACTACTTTGTGATATCATTTGGCGACAAAATCACAGAGAAAGAGGACTCAGATCACGTCTTTATCGGCATGTAAATTTTTTTATTATAAATATAGGGGTATATTTGATATGAAATTCACTCTTTATGAGCTGAAGTCAATCAAAAAATTGTCACCCTCGACAAACTGTTAGAGAAGATGAATGTGAGTTTGATCTAAGTTTTTAAGTGATTAATTTTATTAGAGTATTTTGGTTAGCTATTTTGAAAATCTTGATTTTAAAAATTGACCCCTCTGATTGAGATTCATGATCAACATGAACCTCATCAGGGACGTGAACATGTAAACTTTTAAAATTGAAGTTCGTTTGAATTTTTAAGTTCAAGTTGTTTAGAAAGCATGTCTTATCGACTCCAACCTTAATAAGAATAAGAATCATATTAAGTAATTTAGACTTACAAATTCTTATATTTATGATTTAGAGATTATTATTAAATTTACTAGACTCGTCAACTCCAATCTTTGTAAAAAGCAATATACTAGTAGAGTGCAACTTACAATTTATATTTATGATTTGAATATCATTATTAAATTTACTGAACGCATCAACTCTAGTTTTTGTAAGAAGAAGAATTGGCCTAATTGCATTGGACTAATAAATTCTTATTTTATGATTGAGACATTGAATACAAAATTATTAGACTCGTCAACTCTAAGTCTTACGAGGAGGAGATCATACTAGTTGGGTGAGATTTACAACTCTACCCTCTAGACTGGGAGGCCCGATTAAATTTTTAAAATATTAACCATTTAAATGTAAATTTTGTCTTAACCTGTGTGCCATTTCAAAGCTATTTGTCAAAACATTTGGTATTTTAGTTGGAGCTCATGAGGACGTTTATGTTGATTTACATGAACTCTGATGTAGCAGCTTCTTAAAATATTAGCACATTTTAACTCAATGTATTAGACTTAGAATATATCAAAATATAAATGCAAGCTTCGATATTGTTAACTTTTGAATTTCACTAATACTTTGTTATTAAATGCAAGTATATAGCTCGAAAGAGTGCATATTGAAAGGCTTGCCCAAATCTTATGAGTATTTATATTCAAATCAAATATTATCTTAAGACAATAAATTCATAGAATCATTTAAACACTTTAAAAGATTGTGTGAATGTTATGACATTATGCTGCATAAAGACTTCATTTTAAGTATTTTATCTTCTTCTGTTTGCCAGCAGGGGTATTGCAATTCGATGATGAGATTTTAAAGTTTCAAAATTAACAGGATTGAATTATTTTTGAATCTTAAGAGCCTAAAATTGAAAGCTATAAATTTTTATTATTTTTAAGATCCTAAGAGCCTAAATTTTAAAGCTCAAATTTTAAAATATTTTTAAGCTTAAAGAGCATAATTTTCAAAAGCCCAAAATTTTAAATATTTTGAAACCTTAAAAGCCTAAATTTAAAAAGCCCAGATCCTAAACATTTTTGAACTCTAGAAGCCTAAATTTTAAAAGCTCGAATTTCCAAATCATTTTAAAATTCGGTTGATTTCCATTTTATATTATTTATAATTTCAAAAAATCTAAGATTTTATAACTCCAAATACCTGAAATTATGACAATCTCCCGACGTTAACCCCTATTAGAGGGCGCCGAAAGAATGTCAACCTTCCCAACTATCTTAAAACACTTGTTGGTAAGCATTGTTGACACTGTGGTCGGGGAGCAAAAATAGAGTATTTAACTTATGGTATTAAAAGACGCAACGGGTAATCAATGAACCTGTATAAAGTGTCACATTGCAAGTAAGCATTTCCCCGAATGATATTTAATTCTTGAGGAAGGGTACTCACGCTTCCCAGGATGGATATTTTAAAACCTCTAATTTTATAAAAAATTTCTAAAGGAGTTCGTGTTTTTTCTGAACAATACGTACTTCCTCGAATGAACATTTTAAAAATTATCCTATTGCCTGGTTTTTATACCTTTTCGAGGGAAGTAATGACGTTGACAACGGTGATCTACGACAACGACGACGAACAACGAAATAAATAATTACAACATATTTTTCATTTTTTTTACAATTACAATGTATAAACACAAAAAACAAAGAAATGCTCGATTAGACTTTGCAATTAAAGTAATTTGCAGCTCGGATTAGGAAGTGGCAGAGGGCTGACGGGCCTGAAAATATGAAGTTACTTCTTCATTTTACATGTTCTTGGACAGAGTGATCGGATTTAGGCTCGGTATTAATAGTAAGGTGGAAAGCTTTGGCATAGGGCAGAGGCAGTGGGGCTCTCAAGATCGCGAGCTTCAGGTTAGGGCAGAGGGGAAGCCTTTGGTGCAGAAAGGGAGGGACGCAAATGAAGCATTTCTCGCAAGCTTCCGCTTCTAACTAGGGAAAAGAGGCTCGAGCAAGTTTCAGTAGGTTGAGAAGGAGACAACATGTAAGTAGTGGCACAGGGAAGTGAAGCGAGTGCTTCGGCGAGCTAGATTGCAGATGAGGCAGCGAGGAGTATGGGCAGCTTTCTTTCTGCACTACAGAGAGGATCGACTGGAGAGGCGCAGGGAGTGTTCAGACGTGGCTCTGAAGTGGAAGGAAGGAGTTATGTGAACAGGGAAGCAAAGGGTCTTCGGCTATATCACGTGTGGTAGAAGATGGGAGTTGCGGTGGATTTTGTACCCCGCAATCCTGTTGTCGTTTTTCATGTTTGCTCCAAGCATGGCTGAGGTAAACGGATTTTGGTGGTATGGGCTGGTGTTGCATGCAAACAAGAGGAAGATAGGAATAATGAAGGGGAGAAAGGCTTTGATGTTGCTTGTTCAAGGACAAGGGAAGAGGCGAGCGTGAGAACAGTGATGGCATGCAAAGAACTGCAAGCAGACGAAGGCTGTTGACCAACAAAGATGCGGCATTATTTGTGAGGGGCGATCAAGCTTCTTTGTTGCGGGTTGTTTGAACAGAGAAACGCGCCAGCAAGAAACTATCAAGAAAGGGGAAGGCTAGAGACGTGCAAATGATAGGGGGTCGTTTCTTTGAATGTGATTCTTTTATTATTATTATTATTATTAGAATGTGGAAGAACAGTTACAAACTGACGTGGACTTCTAAGGTGGGAATAGGTTAACTGTCTGGAATTAATTAATTATTTATTTTTATCTTTTCCTATCTCCCTCTTTTTATAAAACAGTCAACATGGAGCACCATTTTTTAAGCAAATATGGGAAAGACAAGAAAAAAGGTGATCACCTGTATCCACCTAATGGTAAACAAGTCTGCTTTTTTAGACAAGAAGCTGAGTCACGAGTTTCAGCTTTTGTTGTCTGGCAAAAAGAAATAATATTAGTATCATGTTTTAGAAAAAATAAATGATAACAAAGCCTTATCATATGTCAGTCAGGAACTCGCTACTTACCTGCATGACTAGATCAAATTCTGCCACGGTTGATGGATATGCTTTAAAGTTCTTCTCATTCTGTTTTGCCATCTGCAATAATCAAAAGAACTCTTGAAATGGGAAGATCAGTAAGAATAGAACTGATCAAAAATATATTTGCATGATCATAAAGAAGAATGATTATCAATTCTGCAAAATATTCCGTGATTGACTAATAAGACTAAAGCACAGTTACTGCAAACAGGTAGCAAACAAAATAATCAAAATATTTATAGAAATGAAATGCAGGATACAAAAAATATATAAGTGCATGCCATGTAAACATCCTCATTATAAATAGCGCACATTAACATGCATTTACATTTCACCAAAAAAAAAAAAGAGGTTCAGAACTAACAAATAGAGCCTCGAAGCACAAATTACTCAACTTCCTCTAGAGAGTTATACACATTATATAGTAAAGAATGGTTAGAATGCATGGCCATGACTGCATAATTTTATCTACCAAATCTATCCTAACAAAGAAGCTATTAATTATAATCCTAAGAGCAAAATATTTACAGGTTTGATAAATAATTATACGGATTTCTGAACATAATTAACAAAAATAATTAGGGTGTATCTCGTTAAAATCTCCACTCAAATTAATGCTATTTGTCACAAAGCATCAATTTCACCACAAGGAATAATGTATGTCTCATAACCTTCGTAAGAATGTCCGCAATCTAATCATTTGTAGACATACGAGGAAGTGACATAATAACCCTCCAAAGCTTCATACACTAAATGCTTGCGCCAGCATGGTGATAATGATCAGGACATCACTTTTTTGCATGACTTTAAGCAAATTTCCTTCCTTTTCACCAATAGGGAAGGCAACAAAACGACCCATTTTTGGGCTTGGCATGCTTTGGATAGGTCCTTTGTTTAGGAAGCTCACACTTGTGACCCCGATTTTTTGAGTGTGATTGAGGAAGATTCCAACAACGCTAGTTCTTCTGTATAGCTTATATAGCTATTTTTTGTACTTTTTGATTTTTGTTTAATGCAAATTGCACGCCTTTCAAGAAAGGTTCATAAATAAAGTATATAATGTGAGCTCATGAAATCAATAGGAATTTTGAATAGCTTTGATATTACCTAAATATAGAGAAGTAGGATTATTTTAAGAAAAGCAAAGTTCAATAAAAATACAATGAAACCAAAAAATTTCTGAACATGCGATAGTTACCAATGTGGCTGCTTTTTACGCTTCCAAAAGAGAAGAAAATCGTCAAGAAAAATACACTAACTTGTTACCAATCATTGAGCATTGGAACACCGGTCAACCAGCATTATTATATCCCATGAAATGAAGTGAACAACAAATTAGAAAGACCAAACTATAGCTCAATGTCCCAATAAGATATTGGATGATTCAACAAATGGCAACAAAACATATGTGATGAGATTTTGCATAAATAAACTAGTTGAAACACGAAGAAAATATCAAATCGAGTAATTGTAAAATAATTTTATGTTGCCAGCCTTATCTATATTCAATGGGATCATGCAGAAGAATGTAGCTCTCACTATAATAGTTTATGCTTACCACTAATGAGTTTCCACAACTGAAGTAATTTGGAGTCCAATCAAAGTAATCAGATTATGTGTATACCTGCTAGAAAATTAGTGTGAACATCCAAATCTAAGGAGTAAGAGCACCAAGTTTATTTATTTAAAAGATGGCTTGAGCTTGCAGACTAATCAAAGTCAAATCTATCCCATAATAATGATGGCATCAACCTAAACCATGAGAAGAGCGATCTCATTGCATGTCTTATGAAGCAATAGAAAAGAATCATTTTAGCTCTATTTAAAGGAAAATCAACATACGTTTAACTTAAATTTATCAAGCAATGCACAGGGGGACCAAACTCGATCCATAAAGAGAACACTTCAATCAACTTCCATATGAGAAGGGACACAAGCACCAAGTCAAAAGAGTCATGTAAATCTCCTCTTCAAGATCACCATCAAAAAAGGCATTGTCGACATCACTTTGGAAAAGTAAATATCCTTTAGAAGTAGCACTCAAGATGATCATTCATATTGTAGTCATTTTAGTGACAGGAGAAAAAATTCCTTTAATCTCATATTCTTGTTAGTTACAAAGAATAATTAAACATAACTTATAATGATCCTGCGTTTCACAAAAGAAAACTTGAACAAACAAGCCCATCTGCAGCCTTTCTCCTTAAAGTTTGGAAAACACTATACAATCTCTCATATATGATTATCCAAAAATCATGTTTAATAGCCACTAAATAGCATGAATGACTATGAACTAACGCAACTCCAGTGTTAAAGGACATAACAATTTGTAGGAAAAGTGATTCTAGAAAATCATCTAAAAGCAGAGACCGAGTTCCAATTAGCAGGCTTAGTGGCAAATCAATTTGCATAGGCACATATGGCAAGTTTGGTTCGAGGAGTAGTAAAACTGGACTTCTTTCTTTTGTACACAGTCTCAAGTTTAAAAATCTTTTAGGACTACAGTTTAATTCATCAAAATTAGAAGGAATATCTCTCTTTGAAAAAGGCTCAACATGAATAGAGAAAAAGTAAGATTTTTCTCAAGAAATACGATGACAAAAAAATTTTGTAATCTTAAAGCCTAGAACTGTCACATGCCAGCTTACCCACTATAAGTTGAACAGTGGTGTGACAGAGATGGATGACTCAATCAGATAAAATTCTCACCAGTACGACTTCTAACTTGGACAAATCTGGACTCAATAGGTAATAAATAAAGCCTTACTCAATCATCGCAAACATTCAAAATTCAATTCAATTTAAAATTCGATCACCTATCCAATTGCTTTGAAGCGTGCATAATAATATCACCAAAGTATATACAGAGCTGCTAAAATCCAACATGTAAGGATACGTCCCGAAAAGTTTTTACGCTTCCAAAACCATATCATCCAAAAATTGTACGGGGTAACACCTAACTAATCAATTGATATTTCTTACCCTTTCTAAAAGTCATCAATATAAATGAGTGAGCTGCAGTCTCAGAAAAATAATCAAGACTAAAGCAAGATTGTATAGACAGAAAGAAAGCAACATATATGTTCAATCATAACTCATTTGCATGACAACACTATATAACACAAACATATTTTAATCATATAAAACATCAAAAATAACAGGTATGAATGCAATAAATAGTAACAAACTGTAATAAATATATATTTCCTTCATTCCTACATAAGCATAAGGATTACTTTAACTATTTCATAATCAATAATTGTCGTCTTAGAAATATCACTTGTACTTGCATAGATTTTAATTAGATTCATTTCATTTCAAGTCATTGGATCGTAACTCGGCCCATCGACTACACATCTATTGATAAAAATTAGGCATCTCACAACATTAGAAGCCCCCTTGATACTAACAATTTTGTGCCAACCTAAATATCAAGAGTCGAGAATTACAAGCTTCCATAATATCTTGCTTGCAGATCATTGATATAAGAGTCTACCTATCACAAAAGTTATGACATTCACTTGCGCATATTTCTTATAACAATCATTCATCATATGATTTCAAAAGGAGTGAATTCTAAGGCCACGCAAAAAATTAGTGACATTTTTTTTTTCCTCCAGAGTGTTGACACAATGAGGTGTATGTCTAAAAAGTGAATTAAATTTTGTTTCATACTGCATAACTATTTAAAACCTCTGATTCAAATTTAAAAATTTATCTTATAGTGCTAATCTGGTTGAAAGTAGAATAATTGAAAACTTTTACAAATAAAACCCATTGAATATGTAGAAGAGGAGTCAGTCCAAATTTCTCTCTATGTTGTGTCTGCTAACAACTCTCTGGCTTGCCTTCTAACATGAAAGTGGCTAGCACCACTCTCATATTCTCTTGACAAATCATGTCATCCAAAATCTTTTCAATTTTGAATAAATAATCTTCAGCAGTTGTAAGGCCACTGGTATCTTCAAATGCAGGTGGCTTGAATGCTTGAAAGATCTTCAAATGTCAATCAACTTCTCAAACATATTCAGGCCTGGGCCTAATGCAGGTATATGATCTTTCAATAACATGTATTTTAACAATCACTTGTGATATCAACAGAATAATGTTATGTAACTAAGTGCCTCTAGCTTCCTTCATTTGCCCCACTCTGAATATTACTTCTGTTTGAGTTCTTTTCAAATTAAATTCTAGGTCAACAATTGCCCTAAAAGGCTAGCCCTCAATTCTTTTTTATACTTCCTCAGACATATTTACTTGCATTGACATAATTTATTATTCAATAACATTACTCATATAATAATTATGTCATGCATATTATCTTTTTTAATGGGTTACCCATCCCAAATCCAATCAACTTATAGCTTTATATTAATCAATTCATATTTTTAATCTCATTCTTACTCCTAATTCCAAACACGCTTCAATCATTATTTTCATCTAACCTCATCTAATATCATTTTCTGTCACACCCAAGCTGGCCCCCTCTTTAGAGTTAACAGTGATGTGCAGAGATAGAGGAATTACTCAGACAAAATTCTCACAAGCACATGTTATGACTTGCACATATCAGAACTCAATGAATAATCAATTAGTCTCCCTCATTTATCGCAAAAAATAACAATTAAATTAAAATTATAATTCAATAACATTCTCAATTACTTGAAAACGTGCAAAATAATATCATCAAAACATATACAAAGTTGCTAAAATGCAATATATAATGATACAAACCCAAAAGTCTTTAAACTTCCCAAACCATACCATCCAAAAGTTATATAATGTCACACCTGCCTAATCAACCTGTGTTCCTCACCCTTTTTCTGAAAGTTAACAACATAGAGTGTGTGCTACATGCTAAGAAAAATAATCAAGCATAAAGTAGATTTTATTGACAGAAAGAAAACTTTCGTGTCCAATCATAACCCATATCCATGATTGTAATACCTAACATAAATATATTTTAATCATATGAAGCATTAAAACTAAGAGGCAAAAATATAATAAACAGTAACAAACTTTAACAAACATATATTTCTTTCATTTTTGCATAAGCA